TGCCCCTTCACAACCACTAAAGGGCACACCAGAACCCCGTTTAAATAAACAAGTATGAAAAAGTGATAGTGAAGGGGTAATATGAGGAAATAAGATAAGTGATACCTCAGGAGAAGAGGGATACAACAAATGTTTAGCAGACAATTCGTCCAAGGGTCAACTTCACTTGATTCTTTGACGAGTTATAGTGTGCTGCTAAGATTGGCAAGGCTAACTGCCGATGCCGGCAAAATTTCCAAGAATGTACCAGATCGACGATCCGACTCTGGAAATTATTAGGCACACTATAGACTCCGGACAAGGTGCGTTCCTCTTAGTCTTCTTGACAATATGACCAAGTTGCGAAAACAAGATCCAACAACTAAAACTTAATTTAGCTTAGTGTTTTAGTAATTTTTCGTATGGAGTTGGTACAATCCAGTGGTCACAGCTCCAGGGGAATCTTCCATCGTTTTCCGCTGATGCCAATATCCTAATACCTACCAGTCCCCTTTTCAAATATAATAAAATATACATCAACAATAGAGAGAATAAAGTTAATTTAAAGCATTTCCTAGCTGATAATGATTCCTTTTTCCCATTTGCTGATAAATATAAGACATCAGGCCAAGAACCAAAATGGCCTTGAATATGCCAACAATATTTTGAAACTTACTGGATTGGATTTGAAATCATTTACACCGAACGTGATGTATTCTATCATCGTCCTTAGCAGGTCCAGCCAAAGCTGTATGGCAAGATGTGAATCACCAGAGTGACTCAAATCACCGCACTTATTTCCGGTTGTGTCATTTTGGTTAGCGTTATTGTACATCTCAGGTGCCGCAGACAGCAAAGCGGATACTGCAAGACGCAGGCAAAGCGTCTCAGGAGAGAGATTATCGTCGCCAGGTAAGCAAACGGCTAGTAAGCGGGAACCGTTCTTGGAATTTGAAGGAGTAGCGTCAAGTGAGCATGTGTCCACTTCGGCATGGCTTTGCTCTGCCACGCTAGCGTCGATTTGAAACTTTTGGCTGTTTTTTCGCAAATCAGCTATCAAATATTTTAAAAAATGACAGTGAATAGCACAGTCTACATTTAATCTCTGCTGTTCTACAGCCCAAATAATAATAAAGGAAGTGGGTTGACCTCGTTGTCGCAACTTGGTCTTGTGTTCAGGGAGACTATGTAGAACGCACCGA